GAGCGCAGTCGCTAGTAAGTAAGTAAGTAAGTAAGTAAGTAAGTAAGTAAGTAAGTAAGTAAGTAAGTAAGTAAGTAAGTAAGTAAGTAAGTAAGTAAGTAAGTAAGTAAGTAAGTAAGTAAGTAAGTAAGTAAGTAAGTAAGTAAGTAAGTAAGTAAGTAAGTAAGTAAGTAAGTAAGTAAGTAAGTAAGTAAGTAAGTAAGTAAGTAAGTAAGTAAGTAAGTAAGTAAGTAAGTAAGTAAGTAAGTAAGTAAGTAAGTAAGTAAGTAAGTAAGTAAGTAAGTTAAGTAAGTAAGTAAGTAAGTAAGTAAGTAAGTAAGTAAGTAAGTAAGTAAGTAAGTAAGTAAGTAAGTAAGTAAGTAAGTAAGTAAGTAAGTAAGTAAGTAAGTAAGTAAGTAAGTAAGTAAGTAAGTAAGTAAGTAAGTAAGTAAGTAAGTAAGTAAGTAAGTAAGTAAGTAAGTAAGTAAGTAAGTAAGTAAGTAAGTAAGTAAGTAAGTAAGTAAGTAAGTAAGTAAGTAAGTAAGTAGTAAGTAAGTAAGTAAGTAAGTAAGTAAGTAAGTAAGTAAGTAAGTAAGTAAGTAAGTAAGTAAGTAAGTAAGTAAGTAAGTAAGTAAGTAAGTAAGTAAGTAAGTAAGTAAGTAAGTAAGTAAGTAAGTAAGTAAGTAAGTAAGTAAGTAAGTAAGTAAGTAAGTAAGTAAGTAAGTAAGTAAGTAAGTAAGTAAGTAAGTAAGTAAGTAAGTAAGTAAGTAAGTAAGTAAGTAAGTAAGTAAGTAAGTAAGTAAGTAAGTAAGTAAGTAAGTAAGTAAGTAAGTAAGTAAGTAAGTAAGTAAGTAAGTAAGTAAGTAAGTAAGTAAGTAAGTAAGTAAGTAAGTAAGTAAGTAAGTAAGTAAGTAAGTAAGTAAGTAAGTAAGTAAGTAAGTAAGTAAGTAAGTAAGTAAGTAAGTAAGTAAGTAAGTAAGTAAGTAAGTAAGTAAGTAAGTAAGTAAGTAAGTAAGTAAGTAAGTAAGTAAGTAAGTAAGTAAGTAAGTAAGTAAGTAAGTAAGTAAGTAAGTAAGTAAGTAAGTAAGTAAGTAAGTAAGTAAGTAAGTAAGTAAGTAAGTAAGTAAGTAAGTAAGTAAGTAAGTAAGTAAGTAAGTAAGTAAGTAAGTAAGTAAGTAAGTAAGTAAGTAAGTAAGTAAGTAAGTAAGTAAGTAAGTAAGTAAGTAAGTAAGTAAGTAAGTAAGTAAGTAAGTAAGTAAGTAAGTAAGTAAGTAAGTAAGTAAGTAAGTAAGTAAGTAAGTAAGTAAGTAAGTAAGTAAGTAAGTAAGTAAGTAAGTAAGTAAGTAAGTAAGTAAGTAAGTAAGTAAGTAAGTAAGTAAGTAAGTAAGTAAGTAAGTAAGTAAGTAAGTAAGTAAGTAAGTAAGTAAGTAAGTAAGTAAGTAAGTAAGTAAGTAAGTAAGTAAGTAAGTAAGTAGTAAGTAAGTAAGTAAGTAAGTAAGTAAGTAAGTAAGTAAGTAAGTAAGTAAGTAAGTAAGTAAGTAAGTAAGTAAGTAAGTAAGTAAGTAAGTAAGTAAGTAAGTAAGTAAGTAAGTAAGTAAGTAAGTAAGTAAGTAAGTAAGTAAGTAAGTAAGTAAGTAAGTAAGTAAGTAAGTAAGTAAGTAAGTAAGTAAGTAAGTAGAGATAAACGAGAAGATTTATGCACAGAAAAGAATTGTTATATCACTTTTTCTCTGACTTAAATTTTTGTAACTGATAACTAAAAAAACGATTCAAATATTTTTGTTTACTTAATTGATTCAATGTATAAAATGTTGATCTTTGTAGGCGAAAAAAATTGGGAAAGCATTTACTTACTCGGAAATTCGCTTCATCTAACCCGTCAATTTGACTATTTTCACAAGCACGATTCACCCAGTTTTGAGCAACACGCTAGATAGAGATGAAGGAGGAGGAGGAAAAGACGTTCAACAAGAAATTTGAAGTAAAAAAAACCTTAATGAATGAGAGAACTGGAACGTAGAAAAAAGTAACTAAGGGACGGAAACAACATTTTGATTACATCAACATGTTTGTATTGCCCTGCGAACTTCTCAAGTTACGATCGATTCAAAGCAGGAAAGTTTGACATGAAGTCAGCAAACAATTCTCGTATATCAGAAACAAACTTGCTAAAAAAATACGCCAAACTCTATTTTGGTATGTAAAGTACGAAGACTTCTAGAGACTAAAAGAAATATATAAACTTGAAGAAGACAAAGTTGATTTACAAAATATATCAATCAATCAGTCAGTCAGCAACAACGTACACACACCAGGTCATCAGCACTGATGAGACTAGCAAATTAAGTGGGGCGTTCGACACATTCAACTACCTTACTCCTTATCACTAGTTCAGGTACTGATGCAACCCAATCTTGAATTTCGAGGAGGAAAACCGCATCCCGAACATGCTTGCATTGTTGCTTAGGGTAGTCAGAAAACTCTGCATTTTGACAGCGTCTTCACGAAGTAGAACTATATCATCGGTATATTCTGAGTCAACAAGCGAGTCTCCTGGTAGAAAGTCTACTCCGGAAAAGTCAGATGATGCGAAATTTATACATACTATATACACTGATCTATTTGTAATCCAAACAGGATGTTGATTGTCCTCTCTCCTAACTCTTCTGCTCTTCAAAAAATACACTGATCATAGCAGGCATTTCGATCTCTAGACACTCTTCTCTCGGGTAGCAACTTCTAAGCAATGCTACGCTGCACCTTGTGAGTGATATTCACCAAACTTAGAATTAGGGATGTCTTCATTACGTAGAGTTATAACGCCGCATATCGAGCATATCGGAGCTCTTCGGAAATCACGAGGCTAATAATACCCCTTTTGATAACCGCAGTTAACAATTAACCTAAGAACATATCTAACCTAGTTAATTCAAATTGAAATCAAGTATTTGAACAGTTATATGAACGTTGTTCTAATTATTAATAATTTCAAAAAAATCTTTAGTTGACCTCTGTTTTTTCAAAGAATTGTTCACATTTAATGCAACTTTGAGTAATGAAAAACAATGCTAGTTAGTGTGTGTTGAGTGAAACGTACTAAGCAAAGAAAAGTAAGTCAATGAATGAAAACAATTAAGGAAGTCAGTAGAGCAAAAGAAAACAATTGATGTTATTCATATGACTTTTTTGAAGCATAAACAACAAACACCTGGTTGGTGTCAATGAAATGTTTCAGTTAGCGACAAAATAGAACTTGGTATATATATATATATATATATATATATATATATATATATATATACCATACCACATTGGGAGCACAGAGAGACTGAATTGTCAATTCAAATCCAATAGTAGAAGAGGTGGTGAAGGTATTAGAAGTAATCGGAGAGGTTAAGATGAGAAGATATTATTCAAGAAGTATAATTCAGTGAGAAAAGTTTAGAAAGTCAAAAGTAGAGGTGTTGAAAAATCCAGAAGATTAGAATTTGAGAGAACACAAAGAATAAATGCACCGGCGCCATTGCGAACGATTCTGAGCCATGTCATTCAAGGTCTCTGACCATCGATTATTATCATCTCGTGGACCCCAACCAGGTAGTCGACAATTACCGACATGGCTCAGTCCACTCGTCAATGACTTCATGGATTTGTGCCATGTTTTGGTTTGGCCGCCCCTAGCTCTCAGCCAATCTACTCCTACACTACAAAACATAGCTCAACCAGGCAGTCGAAGGTTAGGCATACGCAACACATGTCCCAACCACCTCAACTGATGAAGTTTCATTACTTCATCTATTGATCTGCCATCCTTACCTAGTACTCGTTTCCTAACGACAGCATTGCTTACTCAGTTGTCCCACGGTATACGAGCAATGCGTCGAAGACACCTATGATCGAAAACCAGTAACCTACGAATGTCTTATACTCTCATTGGCCATGTTTCACAGCCATAAAGTAAGACGGAGCGAACTAGTAGTAGTAGAGGTATTTATTAGTGGTAATGGAGAAGATTCGGTTTTGATAATACCATTGAAGAAGTATAATCCAATGAAATAAATCTAAAAATAACCCAAAGCCATGAGGAATTCGGAAGATTAGAATTTGAGAGAAGACAAAGAATATGGATGCACCGGCACCAATACAAACAATTTTCAGCTATGTCATTCAAAGTTTCTAAACTAAATGTTGCGATTGTTTCGCAAACTTTAACCAGGTAGTCTGTACCTATTATAACATAACGGTCCAGTTTGAAATATTTAGAATTGGGTGTTAGAGATTCATTCTAAGTAGCATATAATCTAGCCTTTATACTCCACAGACAACGACAAATACAGGAGATGACCATTGCAGCAGTAAGCCTTGACATACAAAAGGGAAAAAACAAGATCCTCCATTACATCACAGCATGCACCAACCAAAACACAAATGAAGGAGATACTTTGGAAGATGTGGAGATCTTTAAATGTCTAGACAGCATTACTGATAAACAAGATGGGTCTGCAAATGTAAAGACACGGAACGATAAAGCAAGAGCAGCGTTTATGCTATCGTAGAACATCTGTAATTCAAAACAACTATCAAACGACACTAAAGTTAGAATTTTCAATAAAAATGTCAAGATAGTTCCATTATATGGAGCGGAAAGTTGGAGAACTAACTACCAGAGCAATCATCATAAAGATGCAGGTATTCATAAACTGTTGTTTACGCAAGATACTGAGGATCCGTTGGTCAAACACAATCGGCAACAAACTATTGTGGCAAGGAACAAACTAGTTTACAGCTGAAGAGTGAACTGAGTGGAAACGTTACAGGTGGGATAAGATACACATTACGGAAGGCATTTAACTGAATCACGAGGTAAGCCCTAACTTGGAATCATGAAGGTCAAAGTAAAAAAGACAGACCAAGGAACACATTGAATTGAGAAGTGGAGACAAACATGAAAAGAATGAATTGGCGTCAGCGAGATATCCGTTTACTAACCGAATGACTAGTGTACTGTACTGCGAAACATGGCCGTTAAGAGTAGAAGACAGTCGTAGGTTATTATAGATGTCTTCGAAGCATTGCTCGTATATCATGGGAGAACCGAGTAAGCAGTGCTGTCGTTAGGAAACGAATACTACGTAGGGATGGCAAATCAATAGATGAAGTAGTGAACCATAATCATTTGAGTTGGTTGGGACATTTGTTACGAATGCCCGACCACCGACTGCCTCGATGAGCTAAGTTTTTTGATGTAGGAGTAGGTTAGAAGAAAGCTAGGGGCAACCAAACCAAAACATGGCACAAATCCATGAAGTCACTGACAAGTGGACTGAGTCATGTTTGTAGATGTACGCTATCTGGTTCGGGTCCGTGAGACGAAAGTCAACAATGGTTAGAGACCTTGAACAACATGGCTCAAAATCGTTTGCAATAGCGTAGTTGCATCCACTCTTTGTGTTCTCTCTAATTCTAACCTTCTGAATTCCTCAGAATCTCTATCTTTCTCCTTCTAAATTTATCTAACTGAATTATACTTATCAAATCATATCTTCGAACCTCAATCTTCTCCATTACTGCTAATACTTCTACTGTGGCTACTACTATGTGATTTGAACTGACAATAGCGTCTCTGTGCTGATGCGGTATGGCAACCTGAACTGATATACTTACGTACGAAGTTCTACATTGCTGTTGATTGATATAGAGCTGTGGAGATAGCTGATTTTTATTACAATCATGAACTAATCATTGTCAGACAAGTATTATTGAGAAATCCCAAAGCGCTGGATAGCCAATTTTACCCTAACATGGGAGTCATCATCCGAAGTGCATATCCACGATCTCCATCCACCCTGACCCTTCGGTCTAGCAGCACATGAACACTTAACCTCCTCCTGTGAAGCATCTACTCACCGAAGACAATGGATAAGGGGAGGGTCACTCAATATTATGGATTTATTCAAGCTAGATACGAAAACGTCAACATCTGGAGGGAAACACGGTATCAACTGGACAGTTAGGACACAGCTGGACGATCTGGACTTGGCAGATGACCTGGCTATTCTATCGCACACGCAACAACAAATGCAAGAGAACACGACCAGTGTAGCAGCAGCCTCTGCAGCAGTAGGTCTCAACATACATAAAGGAAAAAGTAAAATTCTCCGATGCAACACAACATGCATAAACCAAATCACTCTTGATCGAGATGCCTTGGAGGAAGTTAACAACTTTACATATCTGGGCAGCATCATCGACGAGAAAGGTGGATCGGATGCAGATGTGAGGGCGCGGATTGGCAAAGCGAGGGCTGCATTTCTACAGTTGAAAAATATCTGCAACTCCAAACAACTTTCAAACAAAACCAAAATCAGCATTTTCAATACAAATGTCAAGACAGTTCTACTCTATGGAGAGGAAACATGGAGAACTACCAATGCCATCATCCACAAGATACAAGTGTTTATTAACAGCTGTCTACACAAAATACTTCGGATTCGTTGGCCAGACACCATCAGCAACAACCTACTGTGGGAGAGAACAAACCAGATTCCAGTGGAGGAGGAAATCAGGAAGAAGTGGTGGAAGTGGATAGGACACACATTGCGGAAAGCACCTAACTGCGTCACGAGACAAGCCTTCACATGGAACCCTCAAGGCAACAGGAAAGGATGAAGGCCAAGGAACACGCTACGCCGAGAAATAGAGAAAGATATGAGAGGAATGAACAAACATTGGACAGAACTGGAGAAGGAAGCCCAGGACAGAGTTGGTTGGAGAAAACTGGTGGGCGGCCTATGCTCCATTGGGTGGTAACACGCGTAAGTAAGTAAGTAAGTAAGTAATTCAAGCTAGACATTCTCACCATTGAATACCGGTTCAGCGTTTTCACGCGTGCAAGGCCGATGATGATCCTAGGTTCGAATCACATTCACAAGGTTCTGAATGTGTTCGACTGATAAGTCAGCACACCACACCATACTAGGGGAGGGGGACAAAACAGTCATCCATTGCAGCCAAGTTTTTCAACAATACTCTAACACTGATCAATTTATGATTCCATTTTAAAACTAAATAATTGCTTAGTTAAAACAACTATTTATTTTATTTTCTTACCAATTGTAAATCCATTTGATTGAATGGTAAATATTGTTGAGGTAAACGTGGTTGAATTCTCTCTTTATTATTATTATTGTCAGTATTATTATGTATTTTGATACAATTCAATGTGATATTTTGATCATTTTTATGCGTTTCATTATTCAATGATAATAGTTGATCAGATAAAGTTGTAGTAGCAGTAGTACTACTACTAACATGACTACTATTACTAGTAGTATTAGTAGTAGTACTGAGTGAATTTGATGAACAAAACGAAACTCGTTTCGGTTGTTTACTTAAATAATGACAATCAAGTGAATTCATATTAGATGTGGTTGTATTAATATTATTCTCTGCTTCAAGCATTGAAACATCATCATCGTCATCATGATTTTTATTATTATTATTATTATTATTACTATTATTATTTTGTACATGAATATCATCATTCAGTGTATTTGAATAACGTCGTTTTCTTGATGCTGATGATGATGAGGATGATAAACCATTGACATGTGGTGAATTTTTATTGGTTCTTATTGTTGTTGTTGTTGTCAATGGTGATGAGGATGAATGTTCAATGTTCAATTCATTTGTTATTGAATCATGAACAGTATTCAATGTTTCGAGATGATTATCAGTAGTGGCATGATTATTCATATTTGACGTTGACGATGAAGAGGAGGAGGAGGACGACGACGAGGATGATGATGATGACAAAGTAGCATCTGATGATGAATATAAAGATGGATCAAAATTTAAATTTGATTTATTTGATAAAAAATTTTGATTATTAGATTTCGATTCAATATCTTTATTAATAGTATCTTGATTAGTAGTAGTAGTAGTATCTGGAAAAAATGCTTTTGCTAAACGTGAATGTCTAAGTCGAAGAACATCGGAATGAACTTTTGATGATGATGCATATTTTAAATGATTCATTGTTTCATCTTGTTCAGCAAACAACGGACATAATGGTGTCCAAATCTATAAGAGAAAAATTATGAATTAATTAGAAAGGACAAAGAGAGAGAGAGAGAGAGAGACATCAAAGGCACTTGGGTGCAATCAGGTAGGTGAGGTTAAGATAGAGTTAATCGAGGATTCCTGGTTTAGCTGCCTATGTCCTGAGAGTTAGTTCTTTTTCAAACTTACAAACATTGATACAATAGGGGTACGTAAATATTTATGCGTCATACAACAAGTCAATCAATTTGTGTGTGTGGGGGGGGGGTTAGGTACCAGAACAGTAGCAGACGGCTTTCTTGAAGGACCACTCCATGGCCATGTGACTTCACAGATCAATCACTAGAGTAAGATGCAGTCCTATGGAAGTCGGTGAAATAACAACAAGTTTATATGCCATTCGTTCTGGAACTTTCGTACATTAGTGATTTGGACTCACGGTCTTCCAACTCCCCTAGGTGGATCCGCCATACTCCTCCACAACCCAGTTAAAGCTCAAGAGAAACTCGCTTTACGTTTTCTCAACAACGCTCAGGTGTTCATAAAGTAGTGAGTAAGAATTTTTTCTGTCAGTGCTTATATACGTATGACCAAATGAGAGCATTCGGAGAGCGAGAGAGAGAGAGAGGACTGTCCCCCCCCAGCTGTACCCAGGGTATTTGGGAGCGAGAATACCAACCAAGTTTAAATAAGAGATATTGAGGGAATCTTGATCGATAATGTAGGGTGTAGCTCTGATTAAGAAACTACATAATTAAACATTTGTATTGCCACACTAATGTGCTACCAACTGAAATTGATTAGTCTCTTTTGGCGCACATGTATCCATCCTGTGAGGATGGCCTTAATATTGGCTATTAGGCCACAAGCGTTTTTTCTTCTAATCTCAACTGGATAGTAGTAATTGGCAGTCTAATCGATGATGTGGGTTTGACTCTATTCCAGACTTGTCAGATGGATGTACCTGTAACCCAGTGCCAATATATTCCCTGTGGAACTTGAATGTAATACTTTTAGCTTTAAGTAGCCGACATGTTATTTACTAAGCTTGTGCGTGTGTTGGGGACGTTAAATCCCCAGAATTCACTTTGAAAAAAATGTACTAATTTTGAATTCTCATTTTTTCGCGCCAACGACGCTCAATTTGACCTTCAGCTTACATTTCCCACTTGGAGAATCCTTGACTGTCATTAGGTGATGGAGATTATTTTAGTATGCTATTTTGTCGCACTCACCAAGGGCGTTTTATCATTGTATAAACAAGCTTGAGTTGTTTGTTTGTTGACTTCGTACTTACTACGTCTTATTACGACTTCTTTTTCTAGTTACGGGTATTAGGTGTAAGAAGGATTTGATTTTGACCAATTTGGTCTCGTGTGCTGTTACGGGTATGAGGGCGGTTATCACTTCTCGGCTGCCCACACCATGGAAGGTTGTTTCTTGAGGAACCCGAAAAGGAACATAGATTAGTGTTGGTCTTAGAGACCTGGGTGCGTTACCACAGAGCTCAAGAGACAATTGCTTGAGGCCGGTCACGCACGGCCTTTTTATGAAGGGCTTTTTGAGTATTAGCTCCGCTCTTAAAAACCCTTAGTGGGCACCTCTACAGTCAGCAGTACGACTTCGCCCTCAAACCTTGGGTAGCTGCTTTTAGTCTCATCGTTCTCTAATCGACCTGCCTGGCTGGCATGGTAGAACCTACAGTCAGTATAGCTCGGTTAGGTCATCACGATAGGCAAGCCCGACCACCACGTCAAGGTAGCTAGCAGCTATGGTCGGGTCTTCTTCTAGTTAGTAAGGCCTGGGACGACGATCAGATAAGAATAGCCAATTGTGTCGATGAAGAATCATTTCACTATTACACTGACTCTCTGTCTGAATGCTCCCGTTGATATCTATCATAAAATTCTACTTCAATAATTCCAATTGTATATAATTTGTTTGAATTAAACAAAAATAATAATAAATCGATTCACTTCACATAAAACTCACTTTAAAATCATAATCTAATCCAGCTGAAGCTAGAACCGGTAGAGTAGGATGTGATTCAATCACATTCACTGCACCGTCAATATCTGCATGAAGCCATTGAATGATACCTTCGGATTCACGATCCCATAAATAGAAATACCCGTCATCACTACCACTAACAATATATTCACTATTTGGTCCAAAAAATGTTGCACCAACAACTAATTATATCAAATATCAGATGAATTTTTAGAGGAAAAAAAGGAAAAGATGCATGGATTCATTGATTACTTAGTGAACTAGTGATAAATTTTGTTATTTTACATGGTAAAATGATACTACTAAGCTGATGTATGGCAAAAAAAATCCAGTGACAATTGAACTGAACCATATTTTACGAGGCGATGGTAACCGATGGTTAGCGACCTTGAATGACATGGCTCAAGGTCGCTTGGAATGGTGCAGGTGCATCCACACTTTGTCTTCTCTCAAATTCTAAGCTACTGAATTATTTATTCATTGTGTTTATCTTTCTCGTCTCAAATTTATTTCACTGGATTATACTCCTTGAATAGTAATCTTTGAACTGTAATCTTGCCGATTACTGCTCATACTTCTACTACCTCTACTACTATTGTGGTGCGCGCTACTTATAAGTAGTATATGACGTGAGTGTAAACGTAATGTCTGGCAGCAGAAGATGGGGGAACATCAAGAAAAGAAGAGTGGGAACACAATGGAATTTGTATGAAACGCATGAATAGTGAAATGTCAGACAATGGATTGATGATTCGCAGATTAACGGTTACGATATGGTTTTCCTATTTTAATGAGTAACTCTGTAATTTTCGTTAAATACAATTCGGTTTCCCTCACCTGTGTTCTCCTTCACTACACTATGAGATTTGAATTGACATTTCAATCGCTCTGTGCTCCTGATGTGGTATAGCAACTTGAACTAATGTAAGTTTGTACGACGTTTTACGTTGTAGCTGACTGACTAAGCTAATTTACTTAACACATCGTATTGGAGTCTCTGTTCTGATGACCGATACAAAGTTAAACCGAATCAACAAAAAAGAATGGAGCATAGGCCGCCAACCAGTTTTCTCCAACCAAATCTGTCCTGGGCTTCCCTCTCCAATTCTGTCCAATGTTTGTTCATTCCTCTCATATCTTTCTCTATTTCTCGGCGTAGTGTGTTCCTTGGACTTCCTCTTTTCCTTTTGCCTTGAGGGTTCCATGTGAAGGCTTGTCTCGTGACGCAGTTAGGTGCTTTCCGCAATGTGTGTCCTATCCACTTCCACCGCTTCTTCCTGATTTCCTCCTCCTTCACTGGAATCTGGTTTGTTTTCTCCCACAGTACGTTGTTGATGATGGTTTCTGGCCAACGAATTCTCTGAATTGTACTTCTCATATATCAATCCACTCTTTGTGTGCTCTTTAATTATAACCTTCTGAAATCCTAATAATCTCTATCTTTCTCCTTCTAAATTTATCTCACTGAATTATATACTTTTCGAATCATATCTTCTCTCCCTAATCTTCTACATTGCTGCTAATAATTCTACTATCGCTATCACTCTTGGATTTGAACTGACAGTTACGTCTTTGTGGTGACGTGGTATGTCAACGTTAACTGATATACTTAAGTACGAAGTTCTGTGTTGAATTTGTCTGTCTATCTATCGCATATATCGATTTTTGTTATAGTTAACATTCTTTATTTGTATGTGATGTAATAATTAAGGCGTATTATAGCTAGTAGTTATCAATATCTTTCAATAAGTTGAACAAACTTTATCAGACATTCACTTTTTTTTATACCCGCTTAATTTTCATCCACAACATCCTGGTGATGCAAAGGCAATGCGTGTAGGACTTGCCTGTCATTGGCCAAATACGTGGAATTCTCAAGGTCAAACAAAGGTAAAAAGGAAGGCCCAGAACGGAGTAGTAGGTTGTAGGATGCTGTTCGGTGATCTGTGCACCCCTGGGGGTAAATAGGTAAGCAAGTGTAAGTAACGCATCATATATAGCCTTCTCTAATAATTGTACATTACAACATTACATCCTTTGTTCTATAAACAAACTGTCACTGATAGCTCCGGTGCATCACCACTGGTTACTGTATAGAACAGTTACTTAAAATGACTGTGACTTGAGTAGTAAAAATACATACGTACATATTCTTTGTTAAAAGTATGAATAAGTAATCGATCATATAAAATAAATTATTATTGAAACTAACTTGTTTGCATATTACGATGTCCAGAGTATTTGTGTAAATATGGTTTATTCGGTTGATTAATATCAAACAGATAAATATTCTCATCATTATATGACAAGAGAAGAGCTAGTTTTGAATAGGGAGATTACACAAATCAATGAAGAAATTAGCATTACAAACATATATATATCTAATCATACAGTAAAATCTCAATATAAACAGTGTCGTTAACATCGAACGCTTCAATTATATCATCTTGGGAGTCCTCATCATCAGTGCTGATGGCCTGATGTCTAAACGAAATCTCAAAATTGATTTGGAAGGCTCGACTGGCTTTTGCCGACGACTTACATTACTTATAGAGTACGTGAGTTATCCATCTGCTAACCAAAGAAAGAGTTAACTGCACAGCAGTTCGTTCCGCGTTCCAATGTATATATATATATATATATATATATATATATATATGTGAAACACGGTTACTAAGAATGGAGGAGGTCATTTGATCATAGTTGTTCATCCAAACATTGTTCGTATATATACTAGGACAAACGAGTAAGGATGAGGATGGCAAATTAATTCGATGAAGTAGTGAATTTTTTATCAGTTTAGGTGGTTGGGACATGTGTTACCTATGTCCAATCACTGGCTACCTTGATATTCGACGCTGTCTGAAGTAGGAGTAGACTTGAAGAATGCTAGTAGCGGTTAAACCAAAACATGGCACAAATCCACGAAGTCATAGACAACTGGAATGAACCATGTTATTAGGTGTAGACTGCTTGATCGGGGTCCACAAGACAATGATACCGATGGTTGGAGACTATGAATGACATGGGTCGAAGTCGTTTGCAATGGCGCAGGTGCATTCATTGTTTGCCTTCATTCAAATTCTAAACTTCGTACATCTTTTCTTTTTGAATTTTTTTTCACTGAATTGTTTTCTGAAATCATATTTTTGACCCCTAATCATTTCGATTACCACTAAAACTGCCACTACATATACCTGGAAAATTCGTCTATGTGTGATAATGTGGTAGGAAAACTTGAAGTGATGGTGTACGTAGGTACCAAGTTCCATGTTGCAGTGTTGCGCGCGAACGCTTAACCTGTCACTCACTGAATGTGCATCCAATGGTTCTGGCATGTTCTTGCATGTGAGGTTGTGTCTGCTTACAGCTGATGAATCCCATACTAGGATGAAACGGTTGTTCAGTGCTTCGATCGTGGGTTTAAATTGATCGGTTCATGATTTATACGAAAATTTGTAACAATGTCGGACATTCATCACATGTTCACTATATTTTTGGTGAAACTCATCAGTAACTGACAATCTTACAACAAGCATTACACATCAAGAACATAGTAAAGATGTGGTCACAGAATGAATTAAACGGTTAAAAAAAAACTTAGACAGTCTTTACCATATCTGTTATTCAAATAAAAAAGTGTCCTCCCAAATCCTAACCTTCTGAATTCCTCATCACCTTTGTCTTTTTCCGCTTAAGTTTATTTCACTCAATTTTACTCTTGAATAATATAGTCGAACCCTAATCTCTCCGATTACTGCTAATACTTCTACTACCTCTATTACTATGGGATTTGAAGTGACAATTGCGTCTCTGTGCTAATATAGTATGGTAACTTGAACTGATGTACGTACGTACGAAGTTCTATGTTGTTGTTGTTAACTGACTAAATAAAGAAATCCACTGACATATACGGATTTTCATTACAAATGCCTTAAAACCAATGAGCTTTATTTAAATGAAACTACACAGTCTTACTTCCAAAAAAACCCCAACTATACAGATTCTATGCAAAACAGAAAATTGTAGTTTTTCGTCAAATAGAGTAAATAAAAATTCAGAATAACACACAACACTTACAATCACCCTGAGCACTATATACAGCAGCTGTGACACTGTACTTTGTCACTTCAAAATTATATGAAGGATCAGTTGAAAGAATATCTTCATCATTGTTACCCATCAATAGAGCTGCACGAGCACGACCTCGTAAACCATTCAGTACAGCACGAATTCGACGACCAAGTTGTACAGACAAGGAATTTAATAAATGATTAGAATCTGCTGAATCCGAGTCGGAATCAGAAGTCAGAGAAGATTGTAAACGATTTCGACATGAATTGATTAATCGACGATTTGCTTGAACTACCAGTCCATTCTCATCTGTACGACGTCGATCTCCACGTAAATGATCTGCGCCGATTGTATGCAAAAGTCCACTATTTGGATCTCGTTTATCAATTTTACGCCGATCGTATATTCTGTTTGATAATATGAAAATAAATATTTGTCAAAATCTAATCTACAAGAAATATGCTATGATAATTGCCATACTTAAAAAAATGTGTATTGTCAATAACTTGAGAATAGTTAATTTGGAGAAAAAGCTTTACACATCAGTTTGGTTCGAATATACAGAGTTTGACCGTATCACACATGATGCAGTTACTTAGTGAAGACAATGGATAAGGTCACACAATGTTAGAGATTCATTCATGTTAGACATCAACAACGTTGGATGACAGCTCAGTGGTCAATAGGTTAAATGACCACGCGCGAAACCGAAGGTCCTTGGTTCCTGCGTGCGTATTCATGGATGTGCAGTGCTTCCAGGAATCTAATGGCACTCTAACATTGATCAATTCATGATTCAGATGAAACTCAACAACATCCACAACTCTATAATGAAATTACAGAGCAATACCTGAAGAACATAACTCCCACCTTCATTTCGAAACCATATGGACATCAAAACAATAGATTTAGGCCGAATGTCAACTTTATGATATCTATTAGAGTAAAGTGATCATACGATTTAAGAATTTAATGTTTTGGTTCAGCCGCTCCTAGCTTTCCTCCAGCCTACTCCTATATCAGACAGCATTGATCGTCGAGATAGTCAGTGGTTAGACATACATAACCACTTTAGGTGATGACGATTCACTGCTTCATCAATTAATTTGCCATCCTCAATCAGTTCCCTATTCTTAACAAAAGCTCTGCTTACTCGACGGTTTTAGAATAGATAAGCATTGCTTCGAAAGTGAGTCATTTTAACGAGCAGTGATTATCTGATTGCAGTCCTCACGATAACAGTAATCAGCGATTTATGATGTCGTATTGACACCATCTCAGAATAGTGGATTACAGTGAAAGAGATGTAATGCCTCATTATCTAATTCCAGATGCTCAGTTCCAAGTATTCCTTCATGCATACTTTCTATTTGTAATATGAGTTCTAAGTGGTATGCAACGGAATGTTGCCCAGAAGTCACTATCGGAGAGAAGTGTCTGTTGTAGCCGAATGTATGGCACGATCAAAGTAGTTTGAAGACCAGAATTCATGTGAAAGATTTTGCAAATGAAAGTTTGAAGATATTAGGTGTACACATTTTACTACTGAACTGTGTTAACTCTTAATTCCTTTTTCAGCATGGTTTTGGTTTCTAGCGGCGGCCAAACCAAAACATGGCATATATCCATGAAGTCACTGACAAGTGAACTGAGTTATGTTTGTAGATGCAGACCTTGAACGAAATGGCTCAAAATCGTTTGCAGTGGCGCAGATGAATTCTTTATTTGTGTACTCTCAAATTCTAATCTTCTAAATTCCTTATCATTACTGTCTTTCTCTTTCTAAAGTTGTCGCACTGAACTATACTTCTTGAATTAAATCTTTGATCCCTAATGTTCACCATTACCACTATCTCCACCACTATGTGATTTGAATTGACAATTGCGTCTCTGTGATGATGGGGTATGGCAACCTGAACTTATTATGTACACACATACGAAGTCCTAGGCTGTAACTGACTGACTGGCGTCTCCGTCCGTCACATTAGTCTTCATTATCATTTCACTAACAGGAGACTTTGAATATTTAGATATGTCAGATTGTAACACCATTCTAATTGCTATAAACGTTTTTGTCAATAATACGTTTAGCGTTATTGATATACGCCACTTTTCAATAGGTCAACTCGTTCTGGTATGGGACTCATCAGCAGTGCACACTCCTGTAACTCACAGGATTCGAACCCAGCAGCTTCGGTCTCGTGATCGAACGTCTAACCTGAGCCGGTATCTAATGGTGTTAATGTTAGGCGCTCACGCGCAAGACCGAATGTCCTAGGTTCGAATCCTACAAGAAAAAGGAGTTGGCGACGAAACGGCCATCCAGTGATTCCAGGTTTCTAACGATGATCTAGCATTGATCGATTGATGATTTCAAAAATTAACTCAAAAATCTCCACAACCGTCTCATGCAAGTTTATCTAACTGACATGAAGTTGTTAGGATATTCATCCAATATCCTAAGAGAATTTTATTGGTCAAATCCTATTGGTCGATTTCTACTGGTCAAAATTATGGTCGTTATAACTGTCAAAGTCAAATACTTCAATGTTGTTTCTCATTGGTTGTCCTGACTATCAATATCACTCCAAATGTTACTTCCTATTGGTCGTCTTAACTGTCAATTCTACAGAATTCGATGCTGCGGTCCCGGATCCCTAATCCGGGATTCTGATTCTCTTCTGGATTCGGACCTCGTGCTTTCTGGATGCTTGTAGAATACACGTTCTACTTCATATCATGTCTTCTTATTTTAACTAAATATGGGGGTTGTAATAATCGGATTTGAGTAACATGTCGTGTCACCGGATCCTCGCTCTCGTTTCCGACTATGTAAACTCGTAATAGTTCAAGTTTATTAAGTTGACGTGTTTACGTGCAGGCGTAACAGAAGTAAAATTACGTATTATCTTATAACGGCTATATTATAATATTATGATGGATAACACAAGAAATGAATCAAAAACTCCACACACAGACACACACACAAAATATAACAAAACAACAACTTACCGTACAATCGATTCCGATCTACCACACAATGCAAATTCATATGGACGTGTTGGATTAGATGCAATGGAGAAAAATTCCGAGAATGGTAACCATAATAATCTACATATATATATACATAGATATTTATAGAAAAGAAAAGAGAAAAAAAAAGTGTATTTTACCAATTTTGAAATAAAGTACAATCAATAGATACGAGAATGAATATATACATTCAAATATATTGGATTGTTTTTAGTGTTGCGCTTTGTTTCCTCTCTATCTCTCTCTCTCATGACATTTTAAAAAGGGAATTCAAATAAGCGGTAAATTTTTGTTTGGCTGAAGAACAAGATGAAAGAGAAAAACGCTATTGTGATGAAATGATCGCTAACTGGTGGTAAAGTAGATTGGTTTTCCGACTAATCACTTGTAAATAAGTTCAAGCAACATGAAGATTTGATTTTGGCGCGTTTAGCAACTCAAGTTGTAATTATCAGCCATCTATCTATACTATATACCACAGTGTAGTTTAAAGTAAGGTTGTAGTGAAGGAGAACACAGGTGAGGGCAACCGAATTGTATTTATCGGAAAATTACAAAGTTACTCAGTAAAATAGGAAAACCATATCATAAACGGTTAATCTGCAAATCTTCAATCCATCATCAATCCATTGTCTGACATTTCACATACTATTCATGCGTTTCATACAAATTCCATTGTGTTCCCACTCTTCGTTTCTTGATCATCCCTCCATCTTCTCTTCTGCCAGACATTACGTTTACACCCACGTCATATGCTACTTATAAGTAGCGCGCACCACAAGGTAAACACAATTTAACTTGTAAATTAAGGTTTTTATAATCATGATTTCATTTTTAAGTGTTTAAATATCTAACATATAATTATTGGTACAAAGTAGAACGTAAATATTCATGGTTATGCTCGTAAATTGATATAGTCGAAACTATTACGAGTTCACCTTAGTCAGTAGATGAGAGTGAAGACAAATGAACCAGTGACACGATAAGCTACTCTAATCCAAGCGTCCCAATGCCCCACTCAGTAAACGAAGAACTATTGACAACATGTAGAAAGTGTATTCTACAAGTACCCAGAAAATATGAGGTTAACAAGCACACAAATAGAGTCTATTTATACATGATAGAAAGGACGTTTCGTCCTTGGGAGAGCCGTAAAAATAGCGTACTAAGATAATTCATCAAGCACTAACAACCAAAAATTTTACGGGTGGGAAATGTAATCGCAGTATCAACTGATTAGCCCATGCTCGAAAATATAAAATCCAAAATTAGGACAATAACCAAGTGAGTTCTGGAGACCTAAAGTCCCCAACATTTATATGCCATACATACTATACAAATTGACGTAGGTAGTTCTTTTAAAGGACCTATCTCGGAGCATTTAATGTCACAGGTCTAATTCACAAGGCAATGGAGTAAACTACCTGGTTGGAATCTGTGAGACAATAGTAACCGATGGTTAGAGACCTTAGACGACATGGCTCAGAATTGTTTGCAATGGTGCAGGTGCATCCATTCTTCGCGTTCTCTCAAATTCTATCTCTTTCTCTTTCTAAAGCCATCTCAATGAATTATACTTCTTGAATAACATATATTCGAACCCTAATCTTTTCTATTACTGCTAATACTTCTACTATTTCTACTACTGTGGGATTTCAAATTGACAATTGCGTCTCTGTGGCTAATGTGGTATGGTAACTTGAACTGATGTAGGTACGTACGTACGTCCCGACCGTAGCTGCTACCTTCACGAGGTGGTCGGGCTTGCCTATCGTGATGACCCAACCGAGCTATATTGGCTGGAACATATGTCCCTGCAGGTCCTACCATGCCAGGCTGGTCGATTGGAGAACGATCAGACTAAAAGCAGCTACTCAAGGTCTGGGGCGAAGTCATACTGCTGACTGCAGACGGGTGTGGCAGCAGTAAGGTGTTTCCGTCGGACAACCAGCATCTGCTGCGATGCTACCTTCTCACGAGGAAGGAAGGGTTAGAAAAGGTCGGCCCTTAAAATGTCACACCTCCCCTACCTCACGGATTTCCGTACGTACGTACGAAGTTCTACGTTGTAGCTGATTGAATTTTTGTCCTCTTAATATTGTAAACAACACTACAGTGATGAAAAAGCACTGGATAGGACTTCTCAATCAGTGTTTGTAGTAATGGGAAGGCATTTTTTTTAGAGGGAAAGAGGACTCATCCAACTTTTGGTCATACCAGGACGTTAGACGACGTACACTTGACCACTCTATCATTAACAAAACATGGATTATAACAGACGATAACAAAAAAAAAAATTTTTTTAATGATAAATATTTAATTTTTGTACAAAAAAAATATATATTACTTGCGAGCTTTGGGAAATCTTAAATCTATGGAAAATACTTGTCCATCGGCACCAGCTGACAGAACAAGATTTGGTTCACCATTTGGGATTGATAATTTATGACATGCTCTATTATGTTTGACTAATAGACGTGTAGGGCAAGCTAAACCACCAGTAGGAGAAAGTTGTGCTAATCTCACTTCGGAATCACATGCACATGAAACAATTTGTAAATCATTTGATTCAGGGATAAATTTCACCTGTATTATTATGATATGAACAAACACACACACACACCCACACATAAATGAAAAAAAAATAAGATTTAGTAAATTGTAATTATAATGAACAATTATTAAGAGAGCAAAAGGAAAATTATTCGCCCAAAAGAATGAATATTGGTTTATTCATGAAGCCTTTATTGTGGCTAGCAGTGGAATCCAGAGCGAGCGTTCCATCCCATGTGGGACTCGTCAGTTGGAGTCGATGTTTACTCAAATTATTATAAAAAGTAATTATTGAGATGGTGGAGATTATTAGGTCAAAAGAACATAATTTACTAGGGTTACATTCTTTGAGCTGAGTGATTTAGCCGTGAAACCTTGATTGTTGTGTTGTTTCTTAACGAGAGAATCGTTAACACAATAAGCAAGTGAAAATAATAAGAAAAACTAATTGAATTGTGAATAATATCATGTTTTTATTACAGAGTGATGAAGATTATTACTTAACACTGAAATCATGAATCAATCATTGTAAGACTACCAATAGAAACCTGAAAGCACCGGATGGCCATTTCGTTCTAGTATAGAATTCTTTAGCAGTGAGTATCCACGAACTACCGAACTGCCGAAAACAATAGATGAGGTTGCGCTAAACCTTAGATTGATCAAAATTAGACATTGGGTGCCGGCTCAGTGGTACAGAGGTTAAACGTTTGTGAGCAAGACCGGAGGTCCTGGATCAGATCCTGGGGTGTGGGTGTCGTCGTAGCTGAAAAGTCCCATACGAGGACGAAACGGTCGTCCAATGCTTCTAGGTTTTAAATGGTGGTCTAACAATGATTGATTCATGATTTTAATGATAGATATCATATTTATTGTCGGCTATCTATTCTCTAACATCAAAATATTTCAACGAGTTACCTTTTTCTATTTGTTTTAACATATATCCACTAATCGCATAATCTATTTAGGCGCGTATATAGAAAGTTTAAGGTCTATCGCTTCCCAAGGTACAAAAAAGTACAAGCCAAGACAATGAGGTGGTTGATAATACCTATTGAAAAGGGAACTTGTTGAAATATTCTCTGCTGAGAGTCCCGTATTATATTAAACATGTTTTCACTCATATCAATACATGATGCAAACAATCGGGTATATACGCTCAATTGAAAAATATGTTGAAACCTTGAACACAAAGAAGCTTGACAAATATCAATGAAGCAATTAATGAACACATTGAAAGAAATCTGATGTAACAAACAGATTGGTTCGAAAAAGTATCAAAAACAATTAATTATCAAGCCAAGAATTAGATTAATCCAGGATGTAATCCAAACACAAAGGGCAAACAATGACAGGACAAGTGTTCACAACAACTATAACAACCAATCAAATTCAAGGTTGAATAAAACAATCTGTTTATATTAAATGGAGGTAAATTCTCATAAATATCATTTCTAACTGAAATTTGTCTTTGAAACTATTACGAGTTCACCTTACGGAACGAAAACCAATGATTCAGTGACACGATAGTTTATTCTAATCCGATCGTCCCAGGCTAAGCTAACAAGATGAAGAAGTCTTGACAAGGCATAGACAAAATGTATTCCACAGGCAACCAGAAAGTACGAGGTCAACAAGAACACAAATCAAGCTTAATTTGTACAATGATAGAAACGCCCTTGGTGAGTGCGACAAAATAGCATACTAAAATAATCCGTCGACCAGTCATAGTAAAGCATTTACCGACTGAGAAATGTAAGCTGAAGGTCAACGAAGCGTCAAAATAAGATTACAAAATTAGGACCTTTTCCAAGTCCTCAACAGAAAGTATCACGACCTTCATGTTATTTGCATAGGTATACAGTGGCCAGCAGTGGAAACTAGGGTGAGCGTTCCGCCCTATTTCAGACTAATCTTTGGCTGGATATACCTATATCTCAAAGTCAGTGTTTACTTCGGGATTCGAACCCAGTACCGTTCGATTCAAAAAACGCAACATTGAGACAATTCGCATAAGATAAACATATACCAAAGAGATTGATTAGTTGTAGTCCTAAACATCAATGGCAAGATTCAAACAACCAATACAAACGAAGTTATTTACTAAAATGATACAAGACCAATGCTTCGAAGACACTGATGATCGAAAACCAGTAACCTACGAATATCCTCTACTCTCACTGGCCATGTTTCACAGCCATAAAGTAAGACGGAGCGAACCACTGCGCAGTACACTCGTCCTTTAGTCAGCAAACGGATATCTCGCCTACGCCATAAGTGACGCAGGTTACTGGTTTTCGATCATAGGTGTCTTCGAAGCATTGCTCGTATATCCTGGGACACCGGAGTGAATGAGTGCTGCATTCATTCATCTTATGCTTTGTATGTGAGTAACATATGTATGTACCTATGTAACGTAGCAATGAGGCCTATTTCCAAATCCATGGAAAAACCGAAAGATATAGCAATCCATTAGAAGTGACTGCGTCTTTAACTTGTGACACCTCACATGCATTTGAGTTTGTTTTAATGTTCAATTAAGGATTAAACCCTTTTGATCATCTTATTGAACAATTAAAGTCCTTTGAACAGCAACAACTTGTCTACTATTCACACAATAGTACCTTTAATAAATTGTTGCGCTTGTATGAACATGTATGCTTGTGGATTAATTAGACAGTCTAAGCATATATTCATTCTTAATGTTATTCATTTAAACAGTTTAATGACTCTATGATTTTAGATGGTGGAGAAAATTAGTAACTCAGGTGGATGATTGTGGTGGTTTCGTTCTCTCTGAGCTGAATGTTTTGGTTGTGGAGCTTTCAGCACAAACTTCAGATAAAAGTTAAGTATTCAAATTTCTCTACGCATGACTTATTCTCCAATCGACCTGCCTGGCATGGTGAAACCTACAGGAACATAATTTCCTGCCTATATATCTGGGTTGGGTCATTACGATAGGCAAGCCTGACCACAACATCAAGGTAGTAGCTACGGTCATGACGTATGACTTGTAGCTTGTTCTGGTGACCCCGATCTTGATAAAATAGTAATGAACCTTAAATCTGTCGTTGTTTGCACTTTTACTTCGATTGTATCCCCCCCCCCTTTGATCTCTTTCTTGCTCCGATGTTTGCCTGTGATGTTTTCTGATTGGTTGATAAATTTTGTCAACGACGACGTGTTGGTTAATTGGTTGATTTAACTAAGTGCCAAGCTTCTAAAAAGTCTCTAGTGTTCTTTGTGCTCCCCCCCCTATCCAGTATTTCCACATTGTTCCAATCAAATGTATATCCATAGTTGTCTGCATGTATTAATATAAGGGAAGAATCGTCATAGCGTTTAACTGCTAATCGATGTTCACGCAGATGAAACTGACGAGGACGTCTACTTTGTCTTATGTAGTGTTGTTCACGGGAAAACTACATCACTTATCCCTTTTCCTATGTATACACATATGCACATTTCGCTCCTCAGCATTTACATATTATTCTGCTTTCGCTTTGTATACCTATGGTTTTGTGATCGATGTTTTGTGCGATAATAAAAGTCACCAACGTTTCGTATTCCATCTTCTGAATTGTATACAACGTTAGGCATTATCTATAAAGGGTTATCAGAACAAACAGTATACAAAGTTTAGGAATATCCACCGAAAATCCACTGCCATGACCTAATAATAATCAATAATTTTCATCATTGGATTAATCGTTAGCGGGTTAACTTAAGTTGCATAAGTCTGTAACAACTTCGCTGTTATTACAACAGAAAGAAATTAACTGAATCTTTTTCCAATCATTTCTAATTTTGACGGGTTTTTTTTTTATACGAAAGTATGCTTACTTTATTTGTTACATGTCATTAGCTTGTTTTTACTAGCTGAAATTAAGAGTACTGAGTCATGTTTGGTAAAACTGAATTGACAGCATAACCTGCCTCCATGTTACACCCTTTTTATTAGTCTGTGTGAATCTTTGAAATAAATCTATCCAACTCAAGTAAGTATACAAATAGAAGCATAACTTCCTATGAAGTATTTAAAACCATACGATAATATTCGACCTTATTAATTGAGAGGTTTATGACAGTGTCTGACAATTTATATTATAGTTCAAATAGCAATAGACGTATAAGTTAATGCATATTTATACAATGGTATCTATATGTTGATTATGCCTTATTGATTAGGTTTTTAGCAGTAAACATGAATGTACGGAAGAAAACTTCCTTGTCCTAAGTAATCATCATGACCGACCGTAGCTGCTACCTTGACATCGTGATCGGGCTTGCCTATCGTGATGACCAAACCGAGCTATATTGGCTGGATCTTATATTCCTTTAGGTCCCCTACCATGCCAGGTAGGTCGACTGGAGAATGATGATACCAAAAGCAGCTACTCAAGGTCTGAGGGCGAAGTCGTATTGCTGACTATAGAGAGGGGTGTGACAGCAGTAGGGTGATTATCTCGGACAATCAGCATCTACAGCGATGCTGCCTACTCACAAGGAAGGAAGGGTCAGGACAGGTCGACCCTAAAAGTGTCACACCTCACCTTAACTCACGAATTACCATCTCCGGCGGTAACGCCTTTTATACAAGAGCGGAGCTAACACTTTAAAAACTTCACACAAAAAAGCCATGCGTGACCGGCCTTAAGCATTTGTCTCTTGGACTCTGCGGTCACGCTGCCAGATCTCTAAGACTAACGCTAATCTACCTTCTTCTTCAGGTTCCTCAAGAAACAACCTTCCACGGTGTGGGCAGCCAGGAAGTGAAATCCAACATCATACCCGTAACTGCTATCTTAACAAAATAAATATCAATGACAGATTATATTGTCATGAACGAAAGTGTTCAGACTACATGGAATGGTGAGTTATTTTAGGAGAAGATACAGTTTTATCAACAAAATAAGTACATCTAATCTCCAGAGTTCGATTAGTAAAACAATTAAAAGATTACTGACTGTCTTTTTTATCTTTGAAAATACTTTGTTCGCATCATGCGTTCCAGTCAGACACCCTTCTCTCCAGAAGTAGTAACTTGTGGCTGACACTCCACTGAATATTACTTAAAACTCATGTTGTGAGTAGTGTCCACCACAATATGACAGGTCAATTTAAACACTGTTTAATTTGCTGTTACGAGTATGAGGGAGGTTGTCACTTCTCGGCTGCCCACAACGTGGAAGGTTGTCTCTTGTGGAACCTGAGAAGGAAAATAGATTAGTGTTGGTCTTAGAGACCTGGGTGAGTGACCGGAGAACCCAAGGGACAACTGCTTGATGCCGGTCACACACAACCATTTTATCAAAGGTTTTTGAGTATTAGCTCCGCTCTTAAAAACCCTTAGTGGGCACCCTTACCGCCGAAACGGAAATCCGTGAGGTAGGGTGAAGTGTGACATGTTTAGAGTCGACCTTTTCTAACCCTACCTTCCTTGTGAGAAGGCAGCATCACTGCATCACTGCTGGTTGTCCGAGGGAAACACCTTACTGCTGTCACACCCCTCCATAGTCATTCGGCAGTACGACTTTGCCCTCAGACCTTCAGTAGCTGATTTTAGTATCATCGTTCTCCAATCGACCTGTTTGGCATGGTGGAACCTTCAGGAACATATGTTCCAGCCAATATAGCTCGGTTGGATCATCACAATAGGCATGCCCGACCACC